GACTTYTTTCTCCCCTTTCCCTCACCCTAAGCACAAGCCTAACCATGTGGAGCTGCCCCAGAAAGCTGCAGCCCAAATATGAAATGGTGCCAGAGGCCTGGCTGGATGCCCTCCCAGCCTGGTCCTCAGGAGAAGAGACATCTCCACAGAGAGTTTTCTGTGTACTCCATCCCAGCACTCTATCCTTTTCAGACTCTTCTTTAGGGATACACTAGGGCCTTGGTTCCTATGTCTGAGACAGAGGGATGCATGTGCATGGAGACCTAATGTTTCCTACATTTAATGACACCTACTACCTGGCTTTATTTGGCAGGCTGGCTGATACTGAATTCCTCTACGGGGAAGAATGGCCATGGGAAGAGGAGAAACACCAGAGACAGTACTCAGTCTTGAGAAGAGTCAAGAGGTTTCTCAGTGTCCATGAGGGTCCTTCGTACCCAGACCACCATCGCTACACTCGGCAGGCAAGYGAGAATTCGGTGTTTTTCCCAGCAGATGAAAAGGGGCACATCAGACTGCTGCAGGAAATGCACAAAAGAGGGAGGCACTCCACCTCAAGCTTCAAGAAGAAACATGAAGGAGTTAGCAGAAGTAACAGACTTCACGGTAGCCCAGAGCTGGGACCCATAACTGAAACCTCAAGGAATGAGGCGCAGATTGGTGACAGTGACACCTCATCCGAGACAAACAGGCCAGTTCCTGAGGTCATCATCTCTGAAGCCACAGACATTGCACCCGATGAGCCGGACAAACCAGACTTGCCAACAGAGCGTTCCGCAAGCGTGCCGGAAGAGAAGCTTCAAAGGATCCTGGCTGAGGCAAATATGGCTCTTCTGACCCAACCATTTTTCGCCCCCGAAATGACTCCATACCCCTCAAGTTCRGAGGTGCATCAGTCACTTCCCAGTGTGATAGGGGAGCCCAAACATGAGCCCCAGGTGAGTAACATCGCTGGTCTCATAACAGATCATGAGAGAAACCTTCAGCGATGGAGCTTACCAAGCTTTCACAGTCCCAGTACAGCATCAAATGATGATGCTGCACCGCCTTTGACAGATCCTGGGACAACTTCACAACAAAGGACATTCAGTGATGGACAAAATGTTACTTCTGCTCCACAGACATTTGAGATGCAGGACTTATGGGAAAACCTGGACAGTAAAGAAACAGCCATAGTAGAATTTTCTAATGAGGAAAGTGAAAGAAAGCTTTGACYGTTCTTCCTCTGGATTTGACTGAACTTCTTGAATGTGGTTCTCACACAAATTTGCTGAAAGTGTAGAATGTCAGACTCGATACTCAGACTAAGTTGTGAACAAGATCCAGCAGAGGATTTGGGCACCTAAACAGGTGGCATTGTTGTGGCATACTTTAAACCACTTGGTCACTGGCTTGAGATCTGTGACTCTGTGGGAAAAACATTTGCAGRGAGAACTGGGAGCCTGAGGACTGGATGTAAATCAGCTAGTGTACATGGTAGAGAGCTGTGTAGGCTCAACTAGAGGAAACATTTAGGTTATCAGTAGAGTGGGATGGTTCTGTCCTCTCTGGATCCATGCTGAACTCTGCTGCCTTTGTATGCTTAATTAAGGTCCATGACACCCCTGTGAGGTCCACCAACAGTTTTGGTTTCTACTCCAGTGGCTTGAAGCCAAGATGTGGGCTCAATTCCCTTCTCAGCCTGGAGAAATTCAGCTCACCATCTCTCACAGCCTGGTGAAACTCAAAAAATCAGGSTCCTCATTTGTGTAGAACAGCATCCTGCCCCGCTCCTGATGAAGCTGTGCCACTGAAGAGTGGAAAAAATAAAAAGAATAAATGTTTTACTTGATTAAGAAAAATGAAAGGTGCAAAACAGCTGGTGAGCTGGGCATGGGAGGTCTGAGTGCACATATGTGGCATACCCAGGGACAGTTTATTGTAAAATGAGGCTCCATGGAACCTCAGCTTAGGGCTCCCCTCTTGGGGAGATAGCTCTTTAGCTGGAAGTGCACAGGTTGTAGTCATCCCAGGCAGATAACAAAGTGGCCCGAGACTGCTMGAAAAATTGTAGTCCACTTCCTAAACCTCTCCCCCATTCCCATGTTTCCCAGATGTAACACACCCATTCTTAATTAACCCAAACCTGAGTCAGCATTAGGTGGCTCCTGCTACTCCAGGGATGACCAAGCCATCTCCCCAAACCTCCTGGTAGCTGGCTTTCCAGCTATCACTCCTGCAAGATGTCTGAAAGCAGGCCAGGAAATCAACTACAGCTCCTTGGTTTTAGCTCTCATCCATGTTTACAAAAGTACAGTSTGGAGCATTCTCCCATGAGTGAGTACAGCATCTCCCCAGACAAGGGAGAGACCAGGTAGCTCAGGGATTGGAAAGAAAAGAAAGAGGGGGAGAAAATGATGAGTCTGCCACAGCCACCAAAAGCAGTACGGACAGCATGGACAGCAAGTGCACCCAGCTCTCTTGCTCAGAAGATTGCACTTTCAGAAAACAAACCACCTCTCTGCCAGGGTAACTGTAACACCAGTGGCTCCTGGAATATTTTAGGACTTTTAGAAGCTGGGAAGGGAATTAACAGATCTGCCTGCTCCTGCTCCAATGACCAACAACTTAGGTGAGGAGCTCTTGTAGCAGGCTATGACATACAGCAGGATTCGATCTCGTCTGGGTAGATTTAAAAAAAAATCAACCACCCTCCCCACTTCTACTTCCTCTGCCTTTGTTTCAGTCTGTGAATTGACTCCTACTGCTGTATATTAGGCAGGGTCTGAGCACAGCTACACTCTCAAATCCTCCAAGACACTAGACAAAAACACATGCATCCATGTCGGCTTTGGAGGCAAAGAACACCTGGACCAAGGAAGCACTGTTTAAACTCATATTATGTAAATTGCAGATATGCAGAAAAGTCAAGCACAGATTTGCCAGGCACCTATGGAAGGCCTTTTTCACACCTTGAGATAAGGTGACACTGGTGTCTGACAGCAGCTTACTGAAATTTGATCACAGTTTGGAGTCACGTGTTCTGGCGGAMCCGCACTCTTGTCACTCCATCACAACTCTTCAGGCAATTAAGGTTGCTTCATTAAGGTTTGACGAACAAAATGAGAAATTCTGTGGAGTGAAATTATGTTGAAATAAACAGCACCTTAGCCTAGCAGTCCACTTTTCTGAATGGCCCTTACCTAACTTCTGGAAGCATTCCCTTTTTCCTCCCAATTCCCTCCTTCTTGTAGCTGAAGCCATCCTTTTCAATTTAATGTTTTCTCAATTTAATCGCATCTGCAATTGTCAAGGAACTTAATTTACCAATGATCTTAACTTAAATACATGGAAATTTTTAAGTATAAACAACGAATTTTAAGGATAGCCAGCCAGCTCCAGTCACACAGCTAAAAATAAAGTGAAGGTAACTGTTGCTCTCCTCTATGGAACTTCRTTAGAGTCAGGAGAGCAATACAAGTTTCTGGGGAGTCTGGCCATACTCTTCCTAGCCATRCATTGATGGTAAGGTTTTTCAGCATCTGTGAAGGAAGTCTGGACCATTATCTAGCTCTGTCCTCTCAGGATATAYGTTTGGGGAGCTGTGCTTCATGCTGTGAGGGAATTTAAGCCAGGAATTAGAGATGACTCTCAAGCATCCACCACAGACCTGCACTGAGAGTCCAGTCCCACCACATCTCCTCACTCTAATCCTTCACACAGCTTCCACCAGGGCTTAAGGTATTGGACCAATGTGCTCTTTGTCCCCGATCGAGACATCAGCTTTTTTCATCCCAGCACTGCTACGTGTGAAAAAGCCTTCCCAGCTTCTTAACATCCAGCTCTGCTCATCTTTTTCTCAGCCTGGCCACTGCCTAGGATGCACACTGCTGCTTTCCACCGGGACATAACACATCTGATCTGCAATGATTGTGCTACCTCTCCCACTCACTTTGCCTGCACTCCCTGGCCCTAGAAATGTTCATTATATGAAGGAGGCTAAGGGTGGCCCCACAGCAGCCATTATCTAGGAAAGAGCATCAGTCAAGCCCCACAAAGGTGTCTRTTAGACATGTAGATGCATGCTAAAGTAGGAATTACAGCTCTGAAGTCACGCCATACAATCTGTAATCCACAACCAGCATTTCACACAGTGGGCCAGCTCCCAGTTAGCTACAGTATTCTGATCATTGCTTATGAAGAAGCTAGTGCTGGGATGACTTACCAGAAATATTTCCTCTCCTCATTTAGTCTGTTATCTCACTTTTGCAAAAATCTGCGGACTCTGATTTCTATTAAATCATCTTTTGGGATTATGTGCTCTCATAGGCACTTCTCTCAGAAAACTATTTGCCTTAGCATGGTAAATGGACTATTACAGCAAACTGAACAATCTACAATTGATGTTCACAGGTATAAGCAATGCTGAATTATTGCATGAATAAAGGCCCTTTGAGAAACACCATCATCCTGGTTGTACTGAACTGTCAAGAAGCACTTGTRGCAAGGGTTTGACCTATCGTGCAAATCAGCTTGATGTCTACCAGGAACAGCAAGGCAGACTTACAGAAGCTGGCAAAGCTGGAAAAGGATAGAACAGCACCAAGATAGACAAGTAGGTCAGAGCAGCAGTTTGCTCCCATCAAATGGTGTTAATCCTGAGCAGGATCAGATATGTCAGGACAAAGAGAGGGCTTGTCCCTGTGCATGCTGCCTGACTTTCCACCTGTTTCTAGGATGTGTTCACACTCTGCTGGAATTCATAGAGCCAAGATGTCGGTGCTGGGACTGACTGGCTGCGGGGACATGTCCCAACACCCTTAAAATTTTCTGTCATAAATAACAGAYCTCTAACTTTGACTATACAAAATATACTTATTTTATAAATAATGAAAATGTACCAGAGTGTTAAGTCTGCTGCATAGTGGAGAAAACAAAAATACCCTGCTGCTGTTAAATGAGGGATAGGACTTTACAGATGTTTGTTTGTCTCAGTTTATGGCCAAAAAGGTTATATTTTCAAGACAAATAAGTTAGCTCAAGGTCAATCCATTCTTTAAGAGTGACATGGACAAAGGAGAATCAAGGCAAGACTGGCCTGAAATACATGGTAACTTCACACAGCTCAATCTTGTCTGCAGAAAGAGACAGCTGGCAGCAGAGTCTCCTTTGCTAGAGGCTGATAGCTTGGATGCCAAATGTGTAACACAATGAGGCTGCAAATAGAGTCATGAAAACAGGCACCGGAAAAAAAAGGAGTGTTTCAAACTGGAAAGCAAGATCAGTATTTCAGAGACACCTATAGGAAAACCATCCTGGTTTTCTAATGCTTATTCAGTGTTACAACTGAAGACTTAACATACAAGAGGCTGTGATCATGACACTRCAATGGACATTGCCTTTGGTCTGTGCCAGGTACATCCAGACAGACAGCAGCAGCAAGTCCCTGGAGGCCACCAACCTCTGTCCCAGCAATGCCACTATGGGGCCACTCTCCATCTCCCCATGCCTCTGCCCTGCTGGGTGCACAGGGCTGGGACTACAGACATTTTTTTGGCTTCGGGAAGATACAAGCAGCTCCAACTGGCCAACATGTTTTTTCCCTCCGGAACACAGAGCAACCTGAATTTCCAATTGTTGGTCTACTCTCAAGTGCCTTCCTCTCCAGCACTGGAACAACTGTAAAAAACCATAAAATATAACTGAAACAGCATTAAGATCAAAGAAAATTTTGTTTGGTGAAGTTTTATTCAYGTGTACAGGGGCAGTATCAGCTTTAGCAATCCAAACAAGTACTCCAATGGGAATAATTTGAGTTAATTTTCTTTTGCCAAATCAGAGTAACTACCTGTGGCAGTTTCATCTGAAACTGCTGCCACTGCTGACAAGAAGGGCTGAGCAAGAGGCAGTAGGTGTGTAGCACTGGCACATGGATCCCATGACTCATCTGAAGTGGAGGAACACTGTGGTATCCCTTTGCACCAGCTGCATTCTGGGTTTTGTAGTGTGGACATTATGCTGAGACAAAGCTCCAGCTGCTCACGCCGCTCAGGGGCAAAGGTGCCAGCTGCTAAAAGCAGCACCTGACCCAAATCAGAGATGTCAAATGCTRAGACACAAAAGAGAGTAATTTTCAAGGCATAATGAACTCAAGGGAAAAGACATGTTTAAGTGATGGTGTAAGGAGTAGGAAATTGTGCAAGGAACAGTAGTCGAAATTAGTGACCACCCAGGCATCAGTCAAATTTCTGTTTATATAAGCTGGTTGGAGCAAGCTGATTTAAAGAGAATATCCATGGCACTAAGGAAASAAAGTTGAACAAAACCCAAACCATGGAAAATTATGATGAAAAAGAAAGCTGTAGAAAATGAGGTGGAAAGTAGCACACAAAACAAAATAGRATAGCCAGACCAGACAGGACTAAGATTAGTTTGCCCCACTCATTAGTTTGCTGCTATCTTGTCAGCCTGGCACAGTTCAGCATTTTTATTCTTCCTGATCTTTTGCAATTCTGAGTGCTGAGCTGCTCTGCTGCTTTATCCTGAGAGCTGTAGTGTCTGACAGTTACTCAGGAAAAATTGTTTCTCTGTTACAAACATATAGATATTTAACCAAACTATATCATCTCAGACAAGGATCACTGCAAAGTCCTTAAAACCTGGATGGGGACAACACAATGTGCATTTAGGTCCAGAGTCTCAGAAAAAGCTCTTCCTCCCACGTGTTGATGATCATTACATTAACGTTTGAGTTAAGACAGAGTAAATGCTATTATGGCTCAATAGTAATCCTTCCTGTGAACAGCTTTTGCAAATCCCACTCTGTCATTCCCACGGTCAAAAATGCAGTAAAATGCAGACATGAAGACATCTCCTAAAATCCAGAGCGAGCCAGTGCGAGTGGGGATGTCGAGAGACTGAAAGCCRCTCATGCAGAAGGTTTGGTCATCAATAGACTCCTGGAAGGGAAAGCACATCCCTGCAGCAGCCTGCTCCATCCCCAGCTCAGGGAGTGAGGCACAGGGAGCAGGGAAGCTGTGGATACGCACCTTTATGATGTACTGCTCTGCTGTCAGCTTGTACTCGTGGTGTCCAATCGTGAAGCTAATGTGAGGCAAGCTCGACAATCTTCTGCAGTCTACAAGAAACTGTACATGGTGCACTCACTGAGATGGGATCATTTTGTTTTTAAATACTGCCCTTTGAATCCAAGGCTTTTGGAATAGGCAATAGTGAATTTACTACAGAGAAGCAGCAGCAGGCTAACTTACAGACCAACACTGCTCTCCAGTTTTCCAGTTCCTGCACTCACTCAAACTAGCCCAGCAGCCCAGACCACTGCACCAAAGTCCCCAGGGATCCCAGGCTGATGAAAACCCTTGCAAGTCYCAAAATGAAGGAGGCGAAGGAGGACTCTGATATCCTCTCTGTGCAACTCAAAAGCAAAAGTAAGTGTGTGAGCCCCAGCGAGCCTACGCCAGCAAGGTCTGCTGGGCAAAAATCCTCCAATGCTCTGGCCTTGACAGGGAAAAGGGAGCTGCTCCAGCCACAGAGGAAGTGCCCTATAGCTGCAGTTCACCCCAGGTCCTCCCATAATACCATCATGGCAGGGAAAAAACTTAGGGAGGAATACTGTATACTTATACTTTGCCCTGGAGTGTGGAGAAGGACTAAACTCTGCCACGGTTATTCATTTSCATAAATAACACATTCACTTACAGTAAAAGAGAAGATAATTTCCTGGACTTTGTAGTTATTTCATTAAAGAACTGGTGTGTGAAATGGCAGTGCAGAATGCTCCAGATCCCAGAGGGATTTTTGCTGCAAATTGTAGTGTTTAAAGTCATCGTTTTAGAGGCTTCCTAGAAGGAAAAATCTGCTTTTTGCTGTTTTTTAAATCTATTTTATGAGAATATAACCCTACCTCTGTCTACACTTACCAGCTGTCATACCATTAGAACAAAATAAACCATGGGATACAGAAGACAAGGGTAAAAAAAMCTAGTAAAATGATTTGTAGGAGACAAGAAGCAAGATATAATTCTTTTACATAGCTATTACAGAATAGTACATCCAGAACAAATCAATCCTTGCTGAAAAGAGATAAAAGTTCTGGTAAAATCATGGATGGATACATTCACTTTTATTGGCATAAATTTAAGCCACAATGCTCAGTCTGTCTATGATTGTTAAAAACCAGTCACAGAAAGTCTTATTTTCAGGATGCTTTTTTGTGGAATCTGAGATGCCAGCTGAGTGTTCTTACATCAGCACTGATGTGTATGAACTTATATGGCAATGGCCCGTTCCTTGTTTATTTTAGGCTAGTRTGAGTACATTGGAAATATGTATTTTATCTGTGTTCCATGTTAGCATGAATCTTTAAAAAATCAGCTTGTTATTAAAGCACACCCTTTGGCACATWCCTAAAAAATTGAAGAAAATCAAGGGTAAAAGTTTAATTGAGAAATAATTAGGACCCTCAGGAGTTACATAGATGTCACTCCAAGTCCTCCCCTTGCAAATGAAGGTGRATTAAGAGTCCATTTTTGTCTTTACTCTTTGTCCAGTGCACTGGGCACTTGTAATACTCTTAATTTTCTTCCGAGAGCAGTTTTGGGTCAGGATAGAGACAAATTGAGATTTGTTCGCCTGGTTAGGACATGGTGCTAATAACATCAAGGTCATGGGTTTGATAGCTGCGTGGGCCATTCACTTGAGAGTTGGATTTGATAATCCTTGTGGGTCCCTTCCATTTCAGAATATACTGTGACATGGGAAGTTAACAAAAGCCATACATAGCAGCTGTCCTTGGGCACTGGAGCTGTGGCAACATGCTAATGACCTGTGGGAGTCAGCCAAGGGCCATCAATAAGGCATGGTAGAAATAAGCTGCTCTTTCTCTGGAGGAGCAGGAACGAGAGGTGAGGAGAGGCAGCAAGGAGACAGCAGCAGGGAAGAAAGGAAAACCAGAAAAGGGGTCAGAGGGAAAAGGTTCAGGACGAAGAGTAAGAGACAGCAAGCCTTGTCCTGTGCGCTGTGACTCGTCTGCCAGGAGCCAGCATTGTGAGTGACACTGATGTGCATCCCTCCCAGGACCTCTGGCACAATACCAACTGCTCCACTGCTAGCTGAGAGTGAGAGGTCCTGTCAGTGAAGCCACTGTGGGGCTGTCATTAAAATACCATTCCCTTTCAATTTGATGCTGACATAGCTGGCCATCAGCACCAAATCCCTCCTAGCTTGGGGGAGCCAACAGCTATAGCTGGGGATCTTGAAAATGCTCTGAGCTTCCAAAAGAAAATTATCTGTCATGAAGAGATCAGATTGATTCCTCAAACAGATGTTCCCATTATTTTCTTGCACAGCAGTCTGGAAGAGGAAGTGCACATTTGGGAGGAGGGTGGGGCAAAGCATACAGGTCAAAATCACCTTGGCTCAATGCTGGCCTGGAAACAAGGCTTTCGCTGGCACCTGTCTAAGCAGTTACTTTGGTTATTTTCCAACCCTATAAGCTCTTTGCACCAAATACCAGTTTCTCCCTTTCTAGCTGTTTTCTGGCAATTTTTACCTCTCCAGTATTTGATGGACTTGCCCCGATATACTCCTGCAGTCGCCTGATTTGTGAAGAGGGGCCGGTGATAAGAGAAGTGCCTGAGTCAACGATGGCTTCGCAGCCATGGGAGCAAAATGCCACCCGACCCTGGATCTTTATACTGCAAGTGAAAAAAAAAAAGCATCTTTAAGCAAATGGCATGTACACTGTGACTGAAATACTATATTATTGCTAGCTAAAGTACCAGAGTACTGACTGAAGTTAACCCCAGACAAGTGACAGGACAAGAGGAAATTACCTCAAGTTGCACCAGAGTAGGTTTAATTGGATATTAGGAAAAAATACTTCACAGGAAAGGTTGTAAAGCATTGGAACAGGCTTCCCAGCAAAGTGTTAGGGTGAGCATCCTTGGAAGTGTTGAAAAGATGTGTGAATGTGGCGCTAGAGGACGTGGTTGAGTCATGCACTTTGTGGTAGTGTTAGGTTGACGGTTGTACTCAATCTTAATGATCTTTTCCGACATAATGATTCTGTGATTCTTTGTTTAAAATTATCTGCCAAGCTTTGCTAAAGAYAAGAATGTCTGTGGACTCACTTTTCTTTCTTGGGACTGTTACAGCCCTAATCATTTACTGCCTGCTGATGTAGGCACAGGTATGTGTTCTCATCAATTTAGGCAGTGTGCTAAAGGCAGAACAAAGGAATTTTTACCAAAGTTAGCAGGAAAGATGAGAGCAGGACCCAAAGCTGGATTCCACTCCTGTGTGCCCTAAATTAACTGGTATCCTTAACTGAACTGGTGTATCACATTGAACCACTAACATGCTCTCCCAGAAACCAGCTACCCGTGTCACAGCAGGTTTAGAGAGCAAACCCCGGTGTCATCGTGGTGAGCCCCTCTTTGAGTGGCAGGAGGATAAAACACTGCAGCTGAGTCTTCCTGCACTTGTATCACCAGGTGTTTCTGTCTCTGTGGATTTACCGAGGCGGGTGAATTCCACCACATTTTTCATCAAGACATACATACTTGTTCACGTGTATTTGCCAGTAGCTTTTCTCAGTGACTGGGACCCAGTGGATTGAACCTTTGTAGAGAGAATGGTCTATTCCCCCCAGAATCAACTCACCACCATTCTCTGTGTCATCTCCTCTGAAAGCAGAAAACAGGTTAACACAGACCTGGGAGTATGACAGCATGCACCAATGAGATTACATTCAGAAAGCAAAAGACAAACCACAGCCTTTTCTAAATTCAGATATGGAGGGCTGAAAGAGATTATTCCTAAATTATCACTGCATATGTGCCAAATTAGACCCTCCAAACAATCTCTGAGAAGACTTACTGTAGACACCAAGGCAGGCATCATGAGCAGGCTGAGCCAGTTGCTACACTCAGCTCAGAATAAACACTAGAGGAATAGGTGGAGTTGCAGGCAGGTCCAGATTAGGGAACAATATTTTTCTGAAACGTGGCTATTTGGGTTTAGCACAGCATCTCTATTCATTTCCATGGGTCAGAGGGAAACCTCTGGCAACAGACATGGCGAGTCTGAGCTGGGAACTTCTCTTTTCTTTATGACCAGCTCCAACAAGAACAAATCTCTGTCCAAAAAGCCATGGTCCTCCCTATAACATTTTGCTTTTCATGCCATAATTTTCAGTGTCAAATTGGAAAAAAAAACCCAAGAATCAAAATAATGAGGGAAATTTCTTTCTAGAGTTGAAGATTTATACGGATGCAGTTATTTCTATGAACAGTTAAAATAGATGTACTTTGCTTTTGGCAGAATAGTTTCAAATACAGACCTTTTCAGATAGAAAGAGAAGACTGGCTCCTCTACCAGGTTCTGGTTCATGATGCTGTCAAACACAGGCAGAGCATTGCCCACTGCTAAGGAGGGGTAGCCTAAGCCCAGCACACCATCAAAGTGGGCAAGGACAAAAGTTGTTCCTGGCTCAAACACTGACTCGCCGAAGTCCTGTCCCTTGATGGAGATGTTACTTATCTGTTTGGTAAAAAATATAATCAACAAACAACCAAGCAAAGAACAACCACAGCTGAAAGTAGTGACACCATCAATAACAAGAAATTAGCCATATTTCTGATCYATATCAATGGATTTTTTCAGTTTATAAAGCCTGGATATCTTTGTGTGACTTGCATCAATATAGCACATCCCATCTGGCAGGTAGGCTGCACCAATTCGTTAGAATGCCTAAATTATGTGGCTGCTTGTTCATAAGCCCAGAACAGGATCCAAGAAGACAAGCAGAAACGAAAAATAAAATCTGAGGCTTTTGTGCTGGTAGCCCAAAGCTGGAGCAGCACACACACCTCTCAGCAATCAGCTTGGTGGGACCTCACCCTCCCYTTGCCAGGCAAGGTTTTCCAGGGCAAGGCCAGTATCTGAACYGCCCCAAAACAGTTGATGTGAAGGCTGACACCCCTTTTAGAGGAATACTCACCTGCAGCGTGTCTTTGCCAGCAATGCCCAGAAGCTGTCCCGAGCCATACTGCAGGGAGAAGGCTTCCCCTCCGTGCTCATATGAATCTGACTTGAAGGACTTAAATTTCTGGTGCACCCCTAGACAAAAAAATTACATCTCCTGGCAATGCAGCCACCCCTCAATGCAGAACCAGATGAGATGTAGGAGAGCCAGATTATTACTTCTCTCATGAGAATAATGTTGAAAAAGTACAGCAGGCACCTCAGTTCCCCTGAAGACACCCCAGTTTTTCTGTACCTGAGAGGTAATTTTGTCTTTTAAAGGCAAATTAGAAAAAAAATGGGCATTTCCACCTGTTTGTAGGTCTCCAGGTCTATTTTCATGCTCTTTACCTCACGGTGCAGAGGGATTTGGGGCAGTTGCAGCTGGTGCCTGCCCTGGCTGCAAGGTGACATGAGGGGCAAACCAGGCAGAGGAGAGAGGCCCTGAGGGATTCCCYAAAACCTCCCCTTTCAGATCCCTGCTCTGGGCAAACTTCTTGGGAAAGGAGGAGTAGGCAAGGTCTCTGGACTCAAGACAAGAGAATGGTTGGGGAGAATAATGTTTCTTACTGCAGGCCTCGCTGATGCAGTAGGCGGAAGGGACCCAGAAGTTGGAGGAGCCGGTGTCAAACACGACGGTGAATCTCTGGGGCGGCGTCCCGACGCTCACAACCCCGTAGTACTGAGCCTGTGGGGGGAACAGCCCCGTCAGCCCTGGGCTACCTCCAGCCAGCCATTCCTGAGGAGCTCCCTGCTCAGGAGGAGCGCTTTCCCAGGGGGTTCCGTGCAGTTCCACTTAAATGTAAATGCACATCACAGGGAAGTGTGTCTGGTCCCACGGGTGGCTTCACTCCAGCTGAACGCACAGCAGTGTGGCATTTTTAAAGCCTTTTAAGCAAACATTCTGKTGGGTTCCCTATGGAGTCAACAAACCCTCTCGCACTGGCTTTGGAGGTGGCAAGGTCATCCCCAAGAAGAAACTCACATGACCACACAGTCYTTCAGGCTTTTCTTTACTGATGTCAGTAAGAAATCAGTGTTGCAAAGCCAGCACAACCTGCCTCTGCCAGCTTCAGAGGGCTCTGACCACTGGCACAAACACTGTCCGATGTGGCTGCCCTTTTTCCTTTGAAATTAGCAGCAGTTACAGCAGCTATATATTAAATAGCAATATCATAGTATGGCGTGGTACAAACTGCTCCTGATGTACTRAACAAAGATCACCCAGTGGATGAAGAAACCACTGACCATCCCTGGATACCAGYTGAGACTGAGATAATCTGTGGACAYGTGAATGCTGCAGTGAAGTGCTTATCCACATCCCGTATACAAGTGTCTAAGTGCTCCTATCTGGTCCTGGAAGTGCACTTTAGCATTAAGAGACCTATTTTTAGGAAAAGGCATTTCTGGAATTCAACCATAGATAGAAAAGCAATCTAGTGCCAAACTTCGTTCAGCAATAAGAGTATTTGAATATGTACCTTCAAGTGTATACTTGTTAATTAATACACTGGTATTTCTGACCCCAGAATTTACAGTCTGAAAGAGGTAATCTTGAAAAGGCAAGCAAGCATACCATTTAAGAGAATATCCAACTGTACAGTAGGATTCTATTTCTTCTTGCATTAAACAAACCTAAGGGATGTTCATTTAAAAAAAAAAAAAAACACCCAAAAAACATACAACCAGAAAACCCACAAACATACTCCATAAAACTTTCATACACACTGCAATAAATCCTTTCCTGGTGCTACCTGAACGTGCTGGGGAAGTGGGTTTTGCTTTGTTGTTTTGAGATTTGTCCCTCTTTGAAATAAGCTTTTAACATTTAAAAATTTTGAAATGTTTCTTTGTCTTTTGTTCTTCTTCACACACTTCTTCATGGCCCTCAGGTGTCAGTAAGTTCTTGCTGAATTAATTTGGCCTTCCCTTTCATTCCGTTCCCTGTTCAGATGGACTTCATAACATTTCTGCAGCTTAGTTTTCTTGAGATAAGCATAGCAGAAGAACCAAATAAAACAGAAAACAGAGACCATCCAAATGGACAAAATGCTTACAAAATGTAAGCTGATTTGCCTGTCTGAGATCCAATGAAACGAGTATTTTTCCTCTTTTAATTTAGATGGTAAACTCTCTCATGTCAGCCTTCAATATTTAATACATATTCAACATCCAGAGATAAAAGCAGAACAACAAAAAACTCTATTTTGGTCATTGTTATCACTCATTTATGACTCCACCTGTTCAAATAAATGAGATTTGGAGGATGTTTTTTATAACACAGAAGCATCCAAGCCTCTGGTAAATAGAATATGACTAAACGAAGTAATTCAGATTCTGCTATGCAAAACCCTATAGTTTGCCAAGACTGACACAGGCAAACCTCCCATATTTCTTTTGGGACTCAATCAAGTCCAATACGTATCCATACAAAAATAAAACTTGTCACAGGACTACCACTGCTGGTCTACATCAGCTTTCTACCCAGGTCCCATGCTACCCTAGACATAGACATGCTTTATTTTGCACATCACAAACTGKTTTTTTATGATCTAATATTTATAGCATAAAGCAACACCTTAAGCCCTATAATTTCTTTGACAGACTTGATTTGAAATGCACTGGAAAAAAACATCTGCCTTCAATAGAATGACGAGTCCTAATGATTGTTTTACCAAAAGTGTACTTACATTCATGTAATCGTACAGCCTTTCTGAAGCAGTTCCTACTGATAAAGCAATATCAGCAGGGAAGCAATGCAGATACCTCCGGGCAAACACATCAGGGTGGTGATTCCTCCAAAAGTCCTCTAATTCTCCCTTTTCCTTCAGCTGTTTCTTGATAGACTTGAATCGAATCAAGGGGATTCTATGCAAATAAAATAAACACACAAAAAAATAACTGATTTTCCTCTCTAGAACTCTCATATTATCTTTTTTTCTTTAAAAAAAATGTTTCTTTTTTGAGACCTCAAGTAGCAACAAGCACAGATCACCCCACGAAGCCAGCTGAGGCGTGTGCCAGCGACACCTGACATGTTTTCTTACCGTTCCACAGCCACGATGAATGGGATATAAACCACGGCCAACAGTATCACCCTCATGGCTCCAAGCAGTTCAGAGTCTAATGAGAGTCCTTTGCACAGAAGTCCCTTTTTTTATGGCCTGTTGTCAGCTGAGGGCCGTTCACCAGGTCAATCAATCACAGGAGGTCAGTGCTTTGGCAGAAAAGTGATTCATTTGCTCTGAGACGAACTGCTGGTTTGTGCAAATACTGGTGTCCAGTGGAGCTGCCCAGGCACAGATAACCAGGGCACAGTCTAGACCAGACATTTCACTAACAATCTCTAAGGTCTTTTACATAAATATAATACATGTGGTGAGCTTGGCTCCTGTTGGTGTGAGAAAGAGGAAGCAGTCCAAGGACTTCCTGCTTTTCAAGCTTGCTTTAGTGAGATGCTGCTCRGACATGTTCAACACCAAGAAAGAGGACAGAAAATATAACCATTTCCCTTTTGCATGGAGACATTTCAGCAGGGCTGAGCAGACAGACATTTAATGGGCCTGTGACAAATCACCCTCTAACAGCTGAAGTTTAATTCCCTATTTATGGGAAAGCTCCACTCTAAACAGAAATGTGACTGCCACCCCAATAAAATGGATCTTCAAAGTAAGAAACACAACTATACAATACTGTAACATACAGTAAAAGCAGCAAAAAATTTTCGCACATTTCAGCAAGACATTTGGAAGAGCTCTTTTGGATTTATTTACCTGCAGGTTTCCTGAGGTTAGTGGCTCCCAGCTCTGACTGACACTTGGGTGCAAGTCAAGCCTGCAGTGAAATAATGGTGTTAAAAAGAGACTGATTTGGCAGAGCACAGCAAAGGGTGAATGTCAAAGGACGTGGAGAAGGCAGGAGTTGTCATCATCTGCTCTATCAGCAATGTCAAGAAAAAAAAACAGCAGAAAAACCCAAACACAGCATTTGTGAGCAAAGAAGGAGTCTAAATGCCTGTCACAGACTTTAAAGAAATGCAAAGCAAACAAAAAGACTTTAAAGAAATGCAAAGCAAACAAAAATTGTTCCTTTAAGTCACTTCCATTCCTATGTCAGTCTGATTGAGGAGGAGCACAAAAACCTTAAAATCAATAAGTTTAGAGCTCTATTTATTAGTTCCCCTGGATTTTGAAATCATAGTTTGCATTTTCCAATGTACCTCCAAAACTGTAAGGGCTAAAAAAACTCAGCAAAGGCTGAGCCTGGTGTCATCACACTGCTGCAGGCAAAGCTTCGGGTCTGAAAAAACACTAGCATCTCCATTATAATATCTTGTTTCCGAAAAAGAATAGAATCTCAAAAATGCATTTTTATATTGACTTTTTTTCCAATTATCTAGCTCTGAGTAATATTCCCCATTTCTCCTGGRCTTGGTGGTTTTACACAAGTTAACAGTGAACGATCACATTTTCTGTCCCAGAGTTGTCCGAGCACTGAGCTCCAGGAGATGGGTCCTGGAAATGCGAATGGTGAGCAAAGATGGGGCCATTTGTGAACTTTTACAAAGCAAAGGCATTTCTCAAGGAGTCTCCACCTGTCACCTGATGCACAGCAGAGCAGATGTCACGCCCTTGGGTAGGGCAGTGTTGTTTTGACAAGAGCAAGACAATGTCTGTGCTGAATGCCTTTATYACTTGAACTTTTCCTCAAATGCTACAAATGCTTCTGGGAAGTCCTTAATGTTCATGTATCATGTTGGAGGGCATCATGATAACTTTGAAGACATGAAGTGGCTTTCAAAACACCGCCTGGGTCTTCTGTGGGGACTGTCTTTGCCTTGGTGCCTCCACTGAGTGGCTGATTCTCAGAAAGAACGTGGTTGCTCATTTTCTTGCAAGTGTAGAACTTTATTAATCCACACACAAAGGTTATTCTTTTCCAAATTCTGTGATCTCATACTATGTTCCAAGCAGACATTAATTTAGCTAACTGAGGTACAAAATGCAGCAACAAAAGGTCATAGTGACTTTTTTTGATAAGCTGGAATAATGATTAAACTACAGTGCAGAGGATCCCTAAGAAATAGCTATCCGGAGCTTAAAAGTTCGATTAAGTAGAAATAATTGAAGTAGAAAAAAAGAAATTAATCCATATCTGTATCTACAGACATAAGGTACATTGCAAAGTTATTTGTTAACATATGGATTATTAAAAAAATATGCCTAAACTGTATTATTAATATATTCTTATTATTAACCTATGCTCTTATGTTATGATTAGAGGGTTATCTGAAAAGATTTGTCTAAAAGACAAATCTCTGCTGTGGATGTACATTCATTATTAATTATGCTAAATGCATTTRGTTTTCCACTCCTGCAGCCTCCAGTGCCTTCAGGGAAGGAACCCTTGCCTTCAGAAGGTGCCACAGCTGTTTAGAAATGAAAAACAAATACAACAACCTGCTGACACATTCCCCACAGTGGTCCTCTGACAGGGCACACAGTGTCAAAGCAGTAGAGCAGTGTTTAGAGGGAGATGCTCTTGCAGTGCAAACTGTCCCCTTGCTGCTGGGATGCCATGCACAGCATGTCCTGCCTTCTGTTGTCAGAGAGGGAACTTTCAGGCTCTCCCATCCACAGCACCACCTCAGATGACTGCGACATTATCTTTGCTCTCCAGGCTTGATAMTCTGCCCAGCTTCTTCATCCAAAACCTATTTTATATAGCACTCAGGTCTCAGCACTCACTGCTGAGTMCTGCCGTGATACTGGTTCCCAGGTGCCCTCTCTGCTGCTCTGCTCCCACAGGGAAGCCCTCCATACATTTCACAGCATAGCACAGCTGCTCATCTTGTGGAGAAAAGGCTCATAAACATCCTGTACCCRATACCAAATTGATGAAAGCATGTGATAGTAGACAGCTCTCTATTACCAGATTTGACAAGAAATCCAGAGGACATCTTAACTGGTGTGTTTTTCTCAATCTTCTGTTTCCTCTTTCTTTTGTTTTTCAAGAGTGTGTGGCTGTCAGCAGTCATGGAGTTTGGTGATATAGCACCTAATACCCTGAAACCAATAGCAGATTGTTCGAATAAAGTATTCTCCTTAAATTATGTTAAACATGGAAAATGACAACAATAAGCTGTAGATATCAAAGAGCCAGGTGCTGAAAAGGTTATTTTATCTTAAAACACTCTGCCAGCTTTCACATCCAAAGTCCATGGTACAGCCATGGCCAACACACAGGCAGGACAATCATAGAATGGGTTGGAAGGAGTCTTAAAGATCATGTTCAACCTCCCTGTTCCAGGCAGGGACACATATGGACCCCCAGGAAAGCTTGAAAGAGCATCAGCTCAACAAATTAAACTACAGGTTCCTGTACATGGGAATGCTCCTAGAAATTAGAACTGAATAGCAAAATGGGTCTTGATGAGAGAAGAAGGAGAACAGTTTACACTATCACATCTAAATAACCGTAACTATTCAATATTGTATTTATTTCACTCCTAACAAGTGAGAATCTTGATGGAATTTAATCCATGGCAGYTTGACAGGTTTTGGTACAGACATGAGAACTGCAGTAGCACGGTTGCAAGGCAGATAGAGAACAGCCTTGGCAGTTTATGATAGCACATTACATTGGGATTCAGACAAGCAGTGAAACATCATGTAACGAAAAAGGCCCTACACAGTCAAGAGTGCCAGAGGCTATAATAAATACAATTAAATTAGGAACATAAATAGTAGAACAGCTCAAGAYAGCAGTTTGCCAAGTATTTGTGTTAAAGCTTTAAGATAAGTACTGGGTGGCAAGTTACACTCTGAAAACCAAGTATTTGGCACCTTTCAAAATACGTCCCTGGAAGTGCTGCTTGTCTTGAAATTCAGTCAAGTCTTGACAAATATTTTAAACAACAATTTTATTATATCCGCCATTTCTGCTGGAAGTTCCAYGGAAGTTAAACGTCTGAGTTTAAAAATTTGGTCTGATGTGGTGTTTACTTTCCCAAGCCCATCCCTTTTCCCTGCATTGGCTACACATAGAGCAGAGCTGCAGCAAGAGGCAAGGAGCTGAGACACTGGGGTAACTGGAGCGAAATCAGAGAACATTTACAGGAGAGACAAGAAAGAATGTTTTCGGGGGGAGTGAGCACGTGGGAGTGTGGGTGAGAGAGGGAGACCTGGGCCCTGAGTCGCCCTGTCTGTAATCCCCATCACCAAACACTCATTCAGTTATCAGAAACATTTCAGAGCCCTTGAGATGAATGGCTGGTGCCATGTAAACAGAGCCTTATATTGGGAAGACAGAGTTACCAACAGGCCAGTGCACAGCAGAAGACAAAGGCGGGCCCCAGTCTCTTGCAGTCCCAGCCACCCCAAAACAAAATCCTGAGATGGGCAACAATCTGAAAACCGTAGCTGCTTTTGTGCCCTCTAACAAGTGCCAGAAGTACCTCCTAGAAGACCTAGAAGAGATGCCAGTGGATAAAATGGTGGATCTGAGTGGCAGTCAGCTAAGGCGGCTGCCTCTGCACATTTGCTCTTTTAGAGAACTGGTTAAGCTGTACCTGAGTGACAACAACTTGAATCATCTGCCCCCTGAGCTGGAGCAGCTGCAAAACCTGCAGATCTTGGCACTGGACTTCAACAACTTCAAAGCACTGCCCTTAGTTGTGTGCAAATTGAGGCAGCTGTGCATCCTCTACCTGGGCAACAACAAGCTCTGCAGCCTGCCCCTCGAGCTCCGACTCCTGCAGAACCTCAAGACCCTCTGGATCGAGTCCAACTGCCTGCAGTACCTGCCCGAGGTGGTGTGTGAGCTCAGCCTGCTSAAGACCCTGCACGCCGGCTCCAACGCCCTGAGTACGCTCCCTCCCCAGCTGCAGCGCCTGCAGGAGCTGCGCACCATCTGGCTGTCAGGAAACCTGCTGTCCGAGTTCCCTCCCGTGCTCCTGGACATGCCCTTCCTGGAGGTGATCGACGTGGATCGCAACTCCATCCGCTTCTTCCCCAGCCTAGCTCACCTCCCTGGCCTGAAGCTCGTGATCTACGACCACAACCCCTGCAGGAATGCACCCAAAGTGGCCAAAGGGGTGCGCAGGGTGGGGAGATGGTCGGAGGAGACACCCGAGCCCCGCAAGCGATCCGGGGCGGTGATAGAAATCACGCTGGATGAGAAACCATTGCTACCTCCTGCCGCCAAGATCGAGCCAGAAGCCGAGCCCTGCTGATGCCTCCAAGTGCCCCTTTTAGCAAAGGTGGCAGAGTGCTCACACCACTGCCCGACCTCTACCTCTCCCTTGCTTGCTGGTGTCCAGGGAGCACCACACCACCTGGTATTCATCAGGTGCACCTGCTTGGAGACAATGTGACAGCAAAATTATTGTACAGACACCCATCTTTGTGCAGCATTTAGCCCTCTCTAAAACAGACTTCTTCCCTTTCCCCTCCTCCCACGCCAGGGTCAGACTTCACAGTAGAGATGAAGACTCAGTTTTGATGTTTTCAATGGGTGGATTGCATGGAGCATGGAGCACAGACTTGCTGCTCCTGACCCATGGATTCAGTCTTCTCCGTTCCACCTTGCTGAGGTGTCCAAGCTCAGCTGGAAGCCACTGTTCAAGGTGATCATTGCTGAGACCCACAGCTCTAAAGCAACCCACAGCATTTGTCAAATTACTTATCTGAAACGCAACAATACCTTGAAGGTTTCCCTGCCGCATGGGAAGTAGTAGCAGAGTCCTGCCTGCGCTATCAAGGAAACGTGTGCATGTACACACAGGGAGCTCTTACTGCTGCTGCCTTCCTGCAAAATGTGACAACTGTTGCTACTGCCAAGCAGCGTTTCAAATGATGGTGAGGAAAGCTGGAGGCTTTGCTGCTGGCTTTCATTACTGACAATGCTGCCTCTAAGGGCAGCTGTACAGGACAAGTTTCCATGCAGGAGAAAAGACAAAAGTCAAAGCCTGACTAAAAAGGAAAWGCCACAAGAGCTGCAAAGGTAAACTTGCACGAATAAAACCCAGGGCTGTAAGCCTATCACTACAGCCTTGCACATAATCTGAAACTGAGGCAAACTTTACTCAGCTGATTTCAGCTGGGTATTTCTCGAGCTTGCAACTCAGAAACAGTTCAGATCCCTTTAAAAATGCACTCTTTTTTTAAAGTTTTGCTTTAATTGAGTAACAGAGATCTGACTCAGTGACATTTTAAACTTTAGACTCCATAGCATGGTTGAATTAGKTGAAAGACAGTTTTAACAACGGTAGAGAGCCCTTGCTGGCATGCTCTTCAAGCAGAACTGTCTCACCAAYGTAGCCTGAAGAAGTGGCAGTTGACTTCCCAGAAAATGTTTGATTSCATGCCAGTTTGTGACTGCTCAATGTCATCTACATGCTTGAAAAATTATCTGGAAATATATAGACTCTGCTACCACTTGTTGTCTTGTTAAATTAAGTCCAAACTTGGACCTGGCTGGCACATATGTAGTGTGCTATCAGTCAAATTAAATAAAAGTATACTAGCATCTTGCCAAGTTAAACCATCGTTCTTTGGAATTAACAGCAAATTCTTTATCTAGTCTTGTTCCAACTATTTCTTACCACAAAAAGGAAAGTAGGACATGAGTTCAGGGCTTTTTTTTTTAATATCCAAGGTCAATGTTTTATATCCCACAGAACCAAGCTGGTATTTATCTGAGGGGATGCGGAAGAGGGTGCTTTCAACCGGCTTGTCAATAGTTTATGTTTCAGTCAGCTCTCTCCACACAGCAGTCACTTCTGGAGAACTGAAGAGTCTCTGCCASGAGTTAAGGGGAGGATTGTGGAAGCAGATTCCTTTCATTTTATGAAATCTAAGGGAGAAAAATGTTTGCACACATACTTGTTTCTTTAAATTTAATCTTTCTGCTTTGGCAGACTTGTCCTAGTGTTTGCCAGGTGCTGTATTATACGTGCAAGGGCCAGAAAGGTCACAAGGCCTGGCAGGCAGTGTTCTGGGCCCCCACACAGGGCCCCTGTGTTTCTGYGCTTACATTCATCACAAATCTGTGTGCAGATTGCTGCAGGCATCACAGGCTTCTTTACAATCTATGCACAAAGAAACAAGACCWGTTAATTAAGATGTTGCCTTTGCAGCAACTTCTGGAATAGGAAAGGAAATATAGAGACAGGCTACAACACAYGTGAAAGGGGTGGGGCAGAGAGGGCCAGCAGTGAACATTATGCCACCTGGCACATTTTCTAAGTCCTCTATTGTAAGTGTTTGTAAAGTCAGCCCAGTACTTTATAGATCAACGCTCAAACTGTTTGGTCCATAATGTTGCTATCTCTTCCAAATGGCACATGACTCTTAACTCCCCTCAGCAGAATGTAAAATCTGTGCTGTAAAAAACTAACATCACTTAGTTTTAGTTCTGGGCATTGACTGAAGTTCCTCTTCAGCTCTCTCTCTCTGCATCATCATCAAAAAAAAAAAAAAAAAGACTACTCCAGTATCACTAGTAAAAGATACCRTCTAACTTCAGAGCCTGTTTCTAGAATCCCAACTCAAAACCTATGCAGCCAGGACTGGAATACATCACTTCCACTAACACAGCAGGTCAACACGAACCAGTGAGCCACAATGGCTTAGTCACACCCTGACTGAGGACTGAGGATGTGCACCGCACCTGTCCTAGTGGATCTGCCCTTCCTGGTTTTACAGAAAGAAATACAACTTYGGGGATTYTGAATTATTTATTTTTATTTTTTTTTATTTCTGTGTATTTTAAGTGGAACCTGGAAGGAACAGAAAGAATAGGGTTGCATAAAATCTCTGGTTTATACAGCCCTGAAAGTTAATTCTTCCCCACAACACATAAAAACTCCAGTAAGTAAAAACCAACTGAAGACAGTGCCATTGATGGAGATTTGTTTGTCTCAAGCTTCTGTTCCATAACCTCACAAAAACTAGACCATTAAAAAAATTACTAGGTGAGATCTGGTCCACACATCCTCAGGTACTGAAGAAAATTTAACAAGGACGATTGTCTGGTACACGTTTTCTGGGGAGAAAAAGAAAAATCAGAAAAATCAGAAAATTCATCCATGCTGATTTCCACCAGCTCCTCCCCACCCACCCCAATTTTTCATATTTAGTTGGTATTTTGTGTGCAGTGACATTTTTATCTCACAGCACAAAAAGCAGTATCACCTCAAAGCTAATACACCACCATGACCATGGTTAAAAAAATCCTGTGATTCAAAATGCAGCGAACACTAGCTGGKAGCAGGCACAGATGGGATAACCTGACCATGAGTGGAAAATCTTCYCAAACATGTTCCTGTTTAAGCTGCAGATTCTATCTCAAAATCAGCTGGGCATTTCACTACAATTCTTGCCAAAAGAAAAAAGAACTATCCCTTACATTTTGGTCAGGCACTTGTGCAGGTGTTTTAGTGCTATATACAACAAAAGTAGCTGGTGACCCAAGATTAACCAGGCATTACTCAGGCACACCAATTTAAGCTTGCTGATGGCTCTAAAGGCCTGGCAGTACTGCTAATGCAATAAAATTATCCAATACGAACATCAGCATGTCAGATGTCAGGATGAATTTCAAGTGAAGTATTTTTGGAACAATTACTGTTCCACAGAAGCAGGTTACACCACATCACTGTGACTGACTGTGCAGATATTAAGATCATACCTTGGTGCTGCTTTAATGATGTCATCTACACGAAGAATCATTTCTGCTGCTTCAGCTGCGCTCAGCAAAACTTGTCTCTTGACCTGAAAACTTTCTGTTACTCCCAAAACTGCCATGTCACCAATGACACCCTCTTTCATATCTAGAAGAATAAGAGGTGTTTTTTTGTTTTGTTTCTTTAACTTGGCATTTTTTCAAGGAAATGACAAGAAGCTGAGAGCATAGTAACTTACCTGCTCACAAGGAGTACATTGATAGTAAGGGAAGTATTAAATAAAGTATTAAATAAGGTATTAAATAAAGTATAAAATAAAGTATTAAATAAAGTCTTTTACATCAAGACTCCTGATGTTGCAATTATATACAAACAATTAATGATAAAAACTTCATAGATCGTGATGATGAGACAAGATCCCAACAGGACTCTCAGCACTATTTCCTTAGGTATAGTAACTTCAAGGTCCTTTTCCACACCTCTGTGGTTGTTGTTTGATTTTTTTGGGGCAGTGGTGAGGAAAAGGGCAAGGGGAAGAATGTGTTTGGTTCTGCTGGGTTTTTAGTTGGTTTCTGGTTTTAAAACAATGTTTTTCTTTTTAAGCYTCCTATAACTAGACTCAGTGTAAGGGAACTGGCTTTTAGAAGTGGAAATGATCCACTTCAATAACAAAAGTTTTCACTCTACTGTCAAAAGCCTGGTAGAACAGAAAAGAAATGTCGTGCTGTACACCCAAGTTCTATGCAAAGCAAACTAATCAACATACTCAGTTCTCCCAGCTGAATATATGTGACAGCCATATATGAACTACTTCAATGAGCCTAATGGACCTACCAAACAGCAATTCAATCACAGAAGTAAAACTGAGTCCCTTACCCAGTCCATAAGTAGTCTTCCCTTCACTGTGAGCAGCTCTGAGCTGAGAAACCAAATCAGCACTGTCATAGCCAGCATTATCAGCTATTATTGTTGGRATCTGAGGGGATAAACACAGGTTGTTTTTAATTAACACAGGGACTGATCACTAGTAAACAGGAAATATACTTTGATGTTAYTAGTTTACAACTGAATTTCAAGATGCTCCAAAAACATGGCAGATAATCTGTTATTGTGATCAGAAGATAAAGTAAAAAACTCAAACTAACTTTCTAAGAATTTCAAGACCCTGTTGTAAGAAGCTACTTAAGACAGAAGCTTGTTTGCAGATTTCTCAGTTCAGATTTGTTGATTCACTTTACATGGACAGAATAAAAAAAAATCTTGTCTTTTATCATTTCAGACTACAACTGGTGAAATGTTTTCATATAAAAAGCACAAGCCTGCTGGTAAGCATTAGTCACTTAATCATTCTGTTCACCGTTTCAGTGGTAGCAGTGCAAACTTGAATGTGCTGACTGAAGAGGTAATGCCAAGTGTTACCACGTTCTTAAATTTAATTTCCTTGGGAGAAAACTTTTCCCTGATTTAAATTGCAGGAAGTAATTTTTATTCTTAAATTCACAGCCTGTTAGCACAATTACATTCTTATTTCTTGTGACACCCTTATT